ATTATGTGGGTGTTATGGCGCCCTATCAGGGGCGTGATCACATGAGCGTCATCGTGGGGATGATGCAGTCTGACTGCATCGTTTTCGGAGATGGTAATTTCCTCCTCCCTGCGAACCTTCTATGGTCGTCGCGACACGCTCATCACACTGATAGGGTCGTGATGAGCTGCGCGAGCATACCTTTCCTAGGCGCCTCGCGAGTTCCCCGTGAAGTGCGGTCCTTCGAAGATCAAATTGAGGCTGCATACCCCTTTGCGATCACGTCGCTTCTTTCCAGGTTCCCCCTGATTTTTCTCTTGCGCAGGAGTGGAGTCATCAATATATTCCTTGAAATGCCCTTGCTTAATGAGGTCTCTGATTGCCTACTTGAGAGCTCGGGACTCATCAGTATGATGCCCATTATCTCGATGGTAACGACAGTACTTTTTACTGTTTCTAGCTGACGGGGGATTTTTCATAGGCTTAGGCTCTCCGAGCAGGCTGGCTTCTTCTGATTTGTCAAGAATAGCCGATACAGACGCATTCAGAGGCGTATGTTGATTTCTGTCGTGATGGCGACGAGGAATAGGAGCATACGATTTTTTGGGCTCATGGCACGGTTTCTTTCCTTTTCTTTGATCGTCAGTAGCCCATCTGTGATCAACTCTCCTGTCTTCTTGACCAGACGCACTACCCGAAGCGCCGTGGTCGTGGCGGCGAAGTGCTACCACAGAACTTTCAATACGGAGGTACTTCTCCGCAAGGTTATAGAAATAGGTGAGGGAAACATCATCCTCAGCCTGTAGCTCTTTCCACAAGTCGGTCTGTGGGCGAACTCCCGCTATGATGAGAGTCCGAACAGATTCCTCGGGAGTGTGAGCTACCTTGTTAAGCTCTCTATGGAATCGATCAATGTACGATTGGAAGGATTCATCCCTCTTTTGCCTTATGTTGCTGAGGTAGCTCAAAGGCATCGAGAACTTTCGATTTGCTTGGAAATGCCTCAAGAATGTTGCGCTCATTTGAGGCCACGAGCTGATCGATCCCGCTGGGAGAAACCTGAACCATCGTTTGGCATGAGAGGTCAGAGTTACTACCAAACAACGACACTTTGCTAGATCTGAGACCTGTGAAGCTCCATCAAGTCGTTGAATTCATATAAATGATCCTGCGGATCAGAATTTCCATCGAACGCCCGCATGTCGGGCATTCTAAATCTTGATGGGAGTGGGGCGGCTAACACTGTCGGAGAAAAAAGGGATGCGGACGCGACCCTGCTCGTTTTGCTGAGCTCTTAGCTGGTCTAGAGCCCGCTGTAACTCCTCAATCTGAGGCAGCGAAGCTATCTAGGGTTGCTTTCTCCCATGCGAGTCCGACCTTCACGGTTGCAGTTGAGAAAAGTCTGGAGGTCAGATTTCGCTTCGCCTCGGCTGGCAGGCAGTTCCGACAGCCCTCGACACACGTTGGCTAGAGCCGTGTGATGGCGATGAATGGTGCGGGGAATTGTCACGACCTTCGTGGTGGTACGAACCACCCCGCGAAGTGTGGGAACCTCCTGTACGATGACGATTAAGGTCGTTTTGCTAGCGGTGATAAGAATCGCCCCGCCCCGCACTTTTATGGGGGTGTACTTGCGACGTGACATGGGACAGCTCGGGCTGCGTCCTTTCACCGAGTCTTGACGCCACTGGTATTCTACTCGGGACGCGGTCGATGTTCGCTGGCCATTTGGAGCCCGTAGGCCCATTTTTTGCCACTTACTTACCCTTTTGTCGACGCGCTGCAATGCTCCCGGCACGGGCTATCTCCCTTTGCCGCGCTTTCGCATGACCTGCAGGCGTTTTTTGCGGTTGCAACGCCCCAGCTGATTTGGTTGACACGTCTTGGTCCAAACGGTCCAACCTTCGGTTGACCGTCTGGAGAGTATTGTCGAACCTCTCCAGGTAGCTTCTAATGGCAGGGTCAAGTTGTGAACTTGAAGGGATATCCCCCGCGGCAGTTTGCAGAACTGAAGGTATTTTGGAAGAGGTGTCCTCCTGGACTTGGGAGATCCCCTTAGCACCCTGGTTGGTTCGCTTAGGTTTAGGTTGGCGGGCCATTTGCTGTTGTAGGACCAATAAGTTATAGATTCTCTTGATGAAGGATGAACACTAAATCAGCCCTCCTTCTAGCGTCAAATTGTTGATGCGTTATTTTGACACCAATAAAACGCACGTGTGAAATGTTGAGCTGGCTCAGAAAGCACACGTGAATGTGAGAGAAAATAAGAGTAAATGCAATGGGAACAACTTTTAAAGTGGTTCGGATGCTAAGAAAGCAAGTCCTACGTCCACTGATGTTTGTATTAATGATAGAGGCCAGGTCGCTTTAGCGGACTGACTTACAAAATGATAGTACAAGAGAGAGAATGCTATATATTCTTGAGAGAGAGTAGCTAATCCCTTAAATGAGAGATATGCTCTCAATTTATAGTGGGATGGATTAAAGTTATCATTACTGAATCTGTGAGTTGGTGGGATTATCTATACAAATCCTTCTTTATGTCACATTGCCCACCTTCTAGAGTGATTTACGCGATTTGGCGCAGGGATTGGACACGTGGAAGCTTTCCAGCTCCTGGCTGGTCTAGCGTGCACCTACTATACTGACAGGAGCATGCTGCTCCTTTCCTCATGTGACTCAACTGCGGGAGTATCTATGCTCTGACTTTTGTATACTGATTGGACCTTACGTCAGCCCTGCATTCTTTAGGCATAACAAAGTTTAAAGCAGCTTATAAGCGTAATAAAAACAGTATTTAATGATAGACGTACATGCCTTAATACTTCCTCGTCATCTCTGTTAATTGATTGATGGAGAAATTAAAGGTGGAGCTGTTTAAAGTTTGAATTGCAATGTTGCATCCGGGAAAGTCAGGTGAAAATTAAAGTGCAGAGTTCTAGGGTTCTAGCTGGTTTCATTTTCACTGAAAAGTGAAAACATAATTAGTGAGATAGTGGGGACATACAGGCCCACCGTTAATAAATCATCAAATTAACTCACACGGCCACAAAATTGAACAGTGAGATTTAACAAAACTAAACAATTTTTGGGTTGCTAAAAGGGTGCTGTCAACTTTAGCATACAAATGATTAGTTGAGGTCGGAAGAAACTCAGATATCTATGATTGTAAAATTTCCCGAGATCGTAAAATTATCAACCAGATAAGGGTCATAATGATTATCCCTATTAATGCTAAAAGGGACTCAAACTCATAATTCTTTTTACTCATTTACCATCAGATCATCTAGTAATGGTAAAATTAATTCATTGGCCAAAAAATTGAACAGTGAGATTTAACAAAACTCAACAAAAATTTGTTTTTTTATTAGATCACCGAGGTGTCTGGGCCAGTTTGTATATACCTCAACTAACCTCTCAAGTCCTGAAATTGTCAACCGAGTAAGAGTTTTAATGACTATCTCTATTAATACTTGAAAAAACTCAAACTCAAGAGCTCATAAAACTTTTTTTTTGCTTTTTTACTACCAAGTCACCCAATGATAATTAAACTTAACAAAGTTAACTCCCACAGCTGGCCAAAAAATTGAACGGTGAGATACAACAAAACTCAACAAAGCTAAAAGAATAATGAAATGGTAGTGTTTGTATGAATGGTTTAGTTGGGACTAAGAATAATAAGACTTATTTCATAATACAACTTGGTGTAAAAGCAGTCAACTATGAAATCAACAATCAAGTTAAATTAACGATGAAGATTTCATTTCAAGCGTGAGATACAAAAAAGTTAGGGACAAAAATGTTTGGCCGTAACCAATTCTTCCTACGTACACCAATAACTGTTGTCTTCATTCACCATTAAGCTTGCTTTTACTTGAAACAATAACCTCACACAGTAAATGTTCCATTATATTTCTCGAAGCTTCCAAAAAAATAATTTAGGAAATGTTTGGTGGCAAATTACTTGTGGGTGTGGGCCAAATACACGACGATGCATAAGACGAGCATGTGACAACATGTTGAGATTATAAATTTATAATGCGGTCGCCTCACTTTTGGTACAAAATCACATGTCAATACAGTAGAGAATTAGCCCATTCAGGTACCAAACGTACTAATTCAGCGATTAAACACGAGCCTTGTTAAACTGTTACTAGTAGACCTAAAATTTCAATGCAACACATCGTGCGCTGAAAATGGCATCAAAATATGCGTGATGTGGTTGTTCCAACTTCCAACTTATAAAATGAAATGTAAAACAAGTAATTGGAAAATTTTTAGAAATTGTTTGGTCCCGTCGAACTTAAGATTTATATAGTCAACATTAGTCATCCACGTTATTGCTTTATTTGCCGTATCACATAAATCCGCAAAAGAAAATATGCAGAGTTGATGGTGATTTTAGAAAAATCGTGAAATTGGACTATGACCCATTGACTCACCGACCCGTATATACTAATCCTATTTTTCTTAATATGATTATCTTGTCAAACTAAAATCTCACGGCATGTCGTTATCAAAAACATAAAAATGTCATAGCTTCTGGCCTTCTCTACCAATCAAAACATTGGAGGCAGCCAATTACTTACGGAATGGTTTAATTCTTCTACCTTTTAACCCAACACTACAATATAGATCATATACACAGAAAATGGTGAGTGAGGCATCATCGTCAATATCCTGCTCTCCACCAAATCAAGTAATCACTAATCACAAACACATTTCCACCGTCAAATTCCATCCTCCGCCCCATCGCATGCTACCATCATGCAACCCTCCAATCCAGTCTCTTTCACAGAAACGACCACCAATAAAATAATAATAGAACTGTAACTATATTTAGTCAATAATTAAATTAAGGAAACTGAACCGGAATTTTTTTAGTCCGGACCGGTGGGACCCGAGGGCCCGAATATTTGATGAGCAAAGAATTCACGCTTCTCGAAAACAAAATTCCTTTCTCCCTAACATGAATTTCTTTATTTAACATTTCTTTTTTAACGTACAGAAAATAAAAGTTTTCCGTATCAAATTATATAATTAAAATCTGAAATCAGAAACTCCTCAATTTCTATTGTTTTTCCGCTCTACTTTCTCTCTCTATTTCTCTGAAAAACACAAGCCCTAAAATCTTGATCTGTAAACAAATTTTCCTTCGTTGAAAAATCATCGACTTCACTCATATTCATTTACTCAGAACCTCACTTAGTTTTTTTGACTCCACAAAAAATATCGACATTTTTTATTACGAAATCATTACCGTCGATTTGACCACCAACGGCTCTGATTATCCACACCAATCGCTGCATGCCCAACCGGTAGCAACAACCACAAGTCAATCTATGTTTAGTGATGAGATTAGGCTTGATTGTTTCTCTGGATGCGTGGTATTAGGTACAGGATAAATGCATGTGAGCGGGGATCTTGGGTTTTCTAGCCTGGTCATTGTTGTTAGTTTGCTTTTTCCGGTGATCGGCCTTATTATCCGCCGAAAATGGCGGCTTTCTATTGCCAGAAGGGAGGAGATCAAGAGGCTGGTGATTTTGGCCTCCGAGGAGGCCGCTAGAGCCGAGCTAGAGGCGACCCTCGGATACGGCGCCGTTTCAGTTCCGCAGTATCCTCAATGCGCTGTTTGTTTCTCTCCAACCACCACGCGCTGCGCCCAGTGCAAAGCGGTTCGTTACTGGTATGTTAATTACACTTTAGAAACTGATTATCCTGTTTTAGTGTTGTGTTAATTAATTTTTAAAATTAATTCTGTGTTGGCGTATCGTTTAAATTTAAGATGCTATATGTATATGAGGGATCCTTGAGGCTTCTTTTCTCTAAAGGTTGCTTATAGCTTGTATAATAATTATTTTTGGGGATTTTGATGAATTATTATGAATTAAAATTTAATTCAATTAAAAATAAAAATAGGCGAAATGGTTTGAACAGAGTTTGTGATGAATCTGATTCTTTACGTCGGGCTTTTTACTCATATGAGTCATGTCTTGTGCTAGAGATACGAAATAGTAGGAAAAAGATTTATTAAAATGATACAGAAGGCTTCCAGGTACTCAGTTTATGATAGTCTATTCTAAAAAACACGAGGTAGACTAGGTAATAATCTTCCTACACAAAACTGTAACATGTTTATCCTACTGTATAGGATAAGTGATATATTTACCATTAGTACCTTTCATCTATATGATAGAGATATGAGTAAATTAAAGGTTCCATTGTTCAATATAAGGGTCTAGTTTGTTATGAAGAATAGCTGTTAGTTCTGGATGTGTTTTATTGGATAGCAATACTACATGTCTAGTTCTTTGTGCCTCAAATGGGTAGAAGGTGGTCCACTCGGTTGATTATTTGTTTGTGATTTAATGGAGGAAGTAGTTCTTGGAGACTCATGTTTCTTATGTAATTCTTGCTAGATAGTTTGATGTTTGGGGAGCTTCGTATTACTCAGTACTATATGCTGATTCTCTGTTTGTTGAAGCACAAAGCCTTATAATATTAGTTTGCTGTCGCTATTTTTGTTACATGCACCTACCATGAAAATAAACCAAGATTTTTGGTGCCAGTGACTGTCTAAGTCTCCTCATTCTTTTATTCTGCTCGTGGAATTCTTATAGTATTGTGTTTTCATGATATTTACTTCAGAATTTGAAATGTTTTAGTTCTGGTAAGTGCCAAATTATTCACTGGAGACAAGGCCATAAGGATGAGTGCCATCCTCCCAGCATCACTCAGGACAATAATGATGAAGGTGCCAATTCTATTGATCAGAAGTGGGCTGGCCAGGAGGAATGTGAACTCAATGATGATAGATTTAAGTTTGAAGCCAGACAGCCTCCAACATCAATTGGTATATCATCTGAAGAGTCTGCAATGTCTTATACCAGTACCCCTCCTGAAGTTCCACATGGGAAGAATGATGAAGTAAAAATCGAGCTTCATGCAGATGGGGAAGGAGCAAGTTCTACTAGTGAATATTCTGATTCTTCATTCTCTGGATTCTCTGCTTCCCATACCAGTAGTGAATCATCTGATGATGTTTCTGTCTGTGAGAGCATTAGTTCAAATGAGTCTGAGAAATTGGATGGACCTCTATCTGCTGGTATCTCTGTTGATATGCTTGAGACTGTTTCCAGTGTCAAGAATCTGGATCAGACCAAGCCATTATCCCCTAAATTTGCTAGTTTGGTCGATTCTGTCGATAATTACACTAATTTAAATAAATTAAGTAAGATTAAACCGGGTTGTAGTAGAGAGGGTCAGTGCACATCAACTAGTTCTTCAGGTTCAAGAATTAGTCGCATGCATGAGGGTTCAAATGCTGAAAGTTGCACAGTGTCTTCTGGTTTCTGGGGTAGAACTCTAGAGTCCACAATGGATGCCTGTGCTGATTCTTCTAGGTCCAATTCCCCTTCGTGTTCGTCGAATTTGTCCCCTTCCCCCTCATTGTCTGCCAGGGGCTTTGAGGTGAAGGGGATTGTATCAGATGATGCTCTTCTAGCAGCTTCGGGAAGGCCCAAAGATGGAGTAGCTAAAACTAGTAATGTCGATTTTCTAGAGGTCAGGAGCTCCCCATCCTTGAACTGCAAATCATCTAGTCTCACAGTAAATGGCACTAACGTTGCTTCACATACACCAAAGTCCCGGGAAGTAAAAGCTTCAGTATCTTTCTCTTCTCATGTTCCTCCATCATCTAGTGTTAGAAAAGATTCAACAAGTGTGGATGCTTCAAATATCAGTAGTTTGCAATCCTCTAGCTCTGAAAAGTCAAATACTGTGATTAATGACAATGGTGGTACTTCACATCGTGTTGAAGTGCATTCAGTTCCAAGTGTGAGATCCGGTAGAATCAACGATGTTCAGGCAAGCTCTCCTTTGTTCTCTCGGGTTGAGAGCTGCTTTTCAAATGATAAGAATGGAATAAAAACATCTCTATGGAAAGCTGTCGATCAGTTCAGAGGACCTAAATCTTCGAAGCAATATCCATACGGGGTTGGAAGTGAGACTGCTGGAAGATACAGTGACAAGGTTTTGATTGAATCTTGTGTTGTATTTTTGTGCCTTTTAGATTTTGCATTTGCAATGAATGCATATTGATTTTTTGTCGTTTTTGTTATGTTTCTACAGGGGCTATTCTCATATGAATTATTTGTCAAACTATATAATTGGAACAAGGTAGAACTACAGCCATGTGGCCTCATAAATTGTGGGAATAGGTAAGGCTAATGGTTCTTTCCCATGGATAAGTTAAGATGTCTGATGCATGGTTTATATTAGTTGTATATTNAATGTGAACTCAATGATGATAGATTTAAGTTTGAAGCCAGACAGCCTCCAACATCAATTGGTATATCATCTGAAGAGTCTGCAATGTCTTATACCAGTACCCCTCCTGAAGTTCCACATGGGAAGAATGATGAAGTAAAAATCGAGCTTCATGCAGATGGGGAAGGAGCAAGTTCTACTAGTGAATATTCTGATTCTTCATTCTCTGGATTCTCTGCTTCCCATACCAGTAGTGAATCATCTGATGATGTTTCTGTCTGTGAGAGCATTAGTTCAAATGAGTCTGAGAAATTGGATGGACCTCTATCTGCTGGTATCTCTGTTGATATGCTTGAGACTGTTTCCAGTGTCAAGAATCTGGATCAGACCAAGCCATTATCCCCTAAATTTGCTAGTTTGGTCGATTCTGTCGATAATTACACTAATTTAAATAAATTAAGTAAGATTAAACCGGGTTGTAGTAGAGAGGGTCAGTGCACATCAACTAGTTCTTCAGGTTCAAGAATTAGTCGCATGCATGAGGGTTCAAATGCTGAAAGTTGCACAGTGTCTTCTGGTTTCTGGGGTAGAACTCTAGAGTCCACAATGGATGCCTGTGCTGATTCTTCTAGGTCCAATTCCCCTTCGTGTTCGTCGAATTTGTCCCCTTCCCCCTCATTGTCTGCCAGGGGCTTTGAGGTGAAGGGGATTGTATCAGATGATGCTCTTCTAGCAGCTTCGGGAAGGCCCAAAGATGGAGTAGCTAAAACTAGTAATGTCGATTTTCTAGAGGTCAGGAGCTCCCCATCCTTGAACTGCAAATCATCTAGTCTCACAGTAAATGGCACTAACGTTGCTTCACATACACCAAAGTCCCGGGAAGTAAAAGCTTCAGTATCTTTCTCTTCTCATGTTCCTCCATCATCTAGTGTTAGAAAAGATTCAACAAGTGTGGATGCTTCAAATATCAGTAGTTTGCAATCCTCTAGCTCTGAAAAGTCAAATACTGTGATTAATGACAATGGTGGTACTTCACATCGTGTTGAAGTGCATTCAGTTCCAAGTGTGAGATCCGGTAGAATCAACGATGTTCAGGCAAGCTCTCCTTTGTTCTCTCGGGTTGAGAGCTGCTTTTCAAATGATAAGAATGGAATAAAAACATCTCTATGGAAAGCTGTCGATCAGTTCAGAGGACCTAAATCTTCGAAGCAATATCCATACGGGGTTGGAAGTGAGACTGCTGGAAGATACAGTGACAAGGTTTTGATTGAATCTTGTGTTGTATTTTTGTGCCTTTTAGATTTTGCATTTGCAATGAATGCATATTGATTTTTTGTCGTTTTTGTTATGTTTCTACAGGGGCTATTCTCATATGAATTATTTGTCAAACTATATAATTGGAACAAGGTAGAACTACAGCCATGTGGCCTCATAAATTGTGGGAATAGGTAAGGCTAATGGTTCTTTCCCATGGATAAGTTAAGATGTCTGATGCATGGTTTATATTAGTTGTATATTTTTGGTGGTTCTATTCATTTCTTTTTTATTGGAAATGGAAATCGAAAATTCTATTCATATTAAAGCAATGTGGATGTTGTGTGTGGGGTTACTGTGGTGATTATTTTGAGTAGTTACATGGTGTTTTGTCTTGCATTATTTCTTTTAGTCAATTGACCTGACAAACCCATGTCCAATTATGTAGTACATCCTTTTGACCGTAAGTTGACGAGATTTCTCTTGCTTTTGTTAACTGCCAATATAATTTCTGCAGCTGTTACGCCAATGCTGTGCTTCAGTGCTTGACAGTTACTCCTCCTCTGACTGCTTACTTTCTTCAGGGACTCCATTCCAAAGAATGTACGTTAAGCTCATGACTTTTATCATTGTTTTAACTTGTTTCTAAATAGTATATTTTGCAGCGTTTGTACAGTGTGTAACTCTTCATAATTATTATCTATACCAGGTGCGAAGAAAGAATGGTGTTTCACCTGTGAGTTTGAAAATCTAATATTGAAAGCAAAAGAAGGAAAATCCCCTTTGTCTCCCATTGGGATATTATCACAACTTCAAAGTATTGGAAGCCAACTTGGTAATGGGAGAGAGGAAGATGCTCATGAATTTCTAAGGTTAGTTGGGCTTTTATTTGTGAAACCAATTGTTGAATTTAGGTCTTTTCCATGTTCTTGTAATTTTATCTCCTGCTGAAAGGAATGCTTTTGGATATGTTTGACAGGTATGCTATTGATACAATGCAATCTGTTTGCCTTAAGGAAGCTAGGGTGAATGCTTCCGGCCCTTTGGAAGAGGAAACAACTCTCATAGGCCTTACATTTGGAGGCTACCTTCGATCGAAGGTATACTTTTTTAAGAAATTTTGTGTAAAAGTTTAGAGACCGAGCAGTTCTCATTCCTTGTCTCTATTCTAAGTTGTAATGCCTTGTTGCATCTAGCTGACTTATGCAAGGTAAATTCCATATTGGACTGTAAATGATGCATGTTCCGTATTATTCTTGTCTGCAGATAAAATGCATGAAATGCCAAGGCAAGTCGGAACGACAGGAAAGGATGATGGATCTTACTGTTGAGATAGAAGGGGATATAAGAAGCCTAGAAGAGGCTCTTCAACGATTTTCCGGTACAGAGATTCTGGATGGGGAAAATAAGTACCAATGTGGAAGGTTAGTCAGCTTTACTTTTTTTTGTATGAACTTGCAAGAAAATTGGGTTTGTTGGAACTTCTGTCACTTGTAGTCATAATCAACCTAGCACAGATAATTTGGTTTTGACTTGCTGATTTAATTTGACTATTTGGGACCTGATGTGTGCATTATTCTGCAAAGAGTTTATGATTTAGCTAAAGCCTACTAAATTGTTTTGCTGTGTCGTGGCCTTTCAAAGTACTAGATTTGTCAAAATTTCTTTCAGATTTGTGGACTCGGACCAAATGCTTATATATCTGATGTAGCTGTTATTCATGATGATTGGAAAACAAATATCTTCTTTGGAACCAAAGGCTCGATATCCGACAAGTCTCATTGCGATTTGCTTTCATCTGTGGCTAGGATTTTATTATTCTCTTAGGGTTTTGAGTATTATATAATAGTTATAATTTTTCCCTGTGATTCAGTAAAATTTAGAGTATTGCCAAGTGGAAGATTGGCTAGGCACTTACCCCTAGAGTCACCCATTTCTTATCCGGCTACCATCCTTTTTATTCACTTCCTGTCTTTATTGTTCTTGTTAGATCTCATTCTTAGCAAATTGATTCTCTTTCTGTGGACTTCACTCTGATCTGATAACTTTGCGACGAGATTTTTATTTTTTCAAATTTAGTTCTAACTGTTAAATCATTATAAGTGGACATAGCCAATGGATTTTCTTTTTTCTTTTTCCGGGAAGCCACTTTCTGTGTGTCGTTCTTCTGTTTGTTGTGCTTGAGGAGAGGATTGCATGGGTGTTTCTTTCACAAAATTCAGCATGGTCGTCTGTTTGAGGAAACATTTTTCCAACATGCTTTTGTGTGGTTGCTTTCAGATGTTTCATTTTGCTCACTTTTGCGCTACTATTTTTGATCAGATGCAAATCCTATGAAAAGGCCAAGAAGAAGTTGACAATACTGGAAGCTCCTAATATTCTTACAATTGCATTAAAGCGATTTCAGGTAATCTTTTTAGTCAACAATGATACTTTACTCTGCTGTTTACAGATTCTTATTGATTTCTTGATCCTGCATCGTCTTACAGTCTGGTAAATTTGGCAAGCTCAATAAATCTATTCAGTTCCCAGAAATACTGAACCTGGCACCATATATGAGTGGAACAAGTGATAAGTCACCTATATATAGGCTTTATGGAGTTGTGGTTCACTTGGATATTATGAATGCTGCGTTTTCTGGACATTATGTGTGCTATGTAAAAAGTAGCCAAAACAAGTGGTTCAAGATTGATGACAGCATGGTATGTTCAACTGTTGTTTGTTATTTTATCCTTCTGCTATCACTTTTAGTATTTGCATGTATCCAAACTTTAGTCCATATGTTTGAATTCCTGAATTCATATTTCTTATAAAAAAGAAAAGAAAAATTTCTTAATCTTCTTTAGAACATTGCTCTTCCCAAATCCTCTTCCGTCCCTCATTTAAGTGTTTGCTGTATGGACAATTTAAAAAACTTGTGTCTAATTTTAATGATACCTGTAAAAATGCATCTTATTATTATTGATTTTTGTTGCCCTTTCCTGGAATGAAATGAAACTAATTAGATGCTCTACAAAACTAAAGAAGTACAGGAATTTTAAGCAAGTATATATGACTATGATCTTGTGTGTGTTTTCTAAAACGCTATTGTGCAATACTGAAAGCATTGGAGTCAATCCATTCACAGAATTTTAACTTTTTTATTGATCTTAATTGGATAGGTAACACCTGTGGAACGCGAAAAGGTGCTAGCAAAGGGGGCATATATGCTCCTTTATGCAAGGTAAGTGATCTTAGAAATAGTTTTGTTTAGATGAAGATTAAGATTTCTGTAACTTTGTGTATCTGACTGGGCAATTGTCCTACAGGTGCTCTCCTAGGGCTCCTAGATTGATTAGGAACAGAATAATTTCACATGATCCAAAAAATAAAGTGATTCCTTCCTGGGTAACTGGAAAGACTACTGCATCGAATTTAAAATCCCCTTCCACACACTCTAGTGTTGTTCAATTTTACCCCAGCTCAATTCCTCCTGATGGTCCAGCTGGCATTGAATCTTTTTATTCAAGATACCACCAACTGCAAAAGATCTTAGAAGAAGATTCCAGTGACAGTTCATCTCTTATTAGCAGCAATTCTGATGAAGGTTCCTGCAGCACTGATAGCACTCGGGACTCTTCCAGCACAGATGACATTTCTGATTATATATTTGGGGATTCAGGATGTGGCTGGAACAGCCCATGGAGGAATTCTTCTGATTCTGACACCTCCTCATTGTCCTCTTCCTCACCCTTGGCCACGAGGCATTCAGCCTTTTCCAACTCAGACCAAGCTGATTACACAGGATCTGGCATGGAAGGTGTTGGTCATAGTAGGAGTAACAAGCAGGGGCATTTGGAAGGTAGGGGAAATATATCGATTTTGCATTACGACAGAACTAAACAGTGTAGAAAGTTAGCTAGTAGTAGTTGTAGGTGACTGACTCAAAGAGCTTAGGATGGGTTAGCCCTTTAAAGGATGTAAAATCTGGGGTAAATTTTAGAAAAACAAGTAAGGGAAGTACAGATTAAGCCATTATATTTAAAAAGGGGGGGTAAATAAGAATCAGGGAGAGGCTGTATGTAATGTACTCTTGTAGCTGGCTTTGTTTAAAGAATCAGCTATCACCATTTTGTCCATGTCTTTCCCTTTTAATAATGTGATATAGAAAGCTTTACATAAAGAGTGTACAGTTGGAAAGGGAGCTCCCATGGTGGAGACCCTGAAGGAGTGTAAATCTAGTAACTCTTCGTTATCTTCACCAAGGAATGAATAAAACTTTTACTATTTTAGATTTACTCGCATTTGCTTTTCTCTAAAAATAGGTTGGGTTTGTTTTTGAATAAGCAGGTGATGTTGGCCCTTGACCTCTACTGTGACCTGCAAAAGTTTAATTAATGTCCCTTTATATCTGTTTTTACAAGTATTTCACTAACTCTAATGAAATAGTCCCAGTGCCATCTCGTCTCCTAAATAAAGTTGCCAATTATAGTAACAAAATTATGAAAGAAAAGAGAAAAGAATATGAAGCGTAGAAATTGATGGAAGACAGGTCCAACCACCACCGAACTGAAACGACACACACGACAGCCGTCTCATATCGTTTGGCTCCCCATATGCCTTTATTAATGTCTGCATTCATAGATGATGTTTGACTTTGCGGTTGCCCTGGAGCCCCTTAAATTGACATTTGACAGCCTTCCCCATTTCAACCCATTGGACAATCGATGCCGTACACGTGTACGTTCTAATCATTCCTATCTTTGACAAACGCCACCTCACATGTATATCGCCACCGTTTGTAACATTGCCTTTGTCAGCCACTCAGCTTGCATCTTTAATAGGAAACTAACATATTGTATATATTCTTATAACTGTTATGCCTAAAAAATCAGGACTCATGTAAATTCACATTAGCAAGAGTCAATTAGAGTTCAGAAAGACTTTGTATCGTTTAAACATAGCCACGTCATACAAATACAGAAGAGGTAACACTATCGTCAGTATGATAGGTGAATGTCAGGCTTGTGAGTGGTTAGGAATTGTCCACCTTGCAGACAACCAATGTGAAGCGGGTTAGGAATTGTACCACACCTACCCGACTGCAGAATCATGATTACTACCTTGAATCCCCAACTATAAATAGAGGGCTTCTCTCTCATTTACGGGATTGACTCATCTTTAGTCTTCAAAAGCATACTCTCTCTCTCTGTCTATACATTTCAATTCTCTCGAGATTGTAATTCAGCTCATTGTACACGACCTGATTGTAACCATCTATTAATACAACCATAGTGGACGTAGGATTCGCTTTTGAGCATCTGAACCACTTTAAAAACCGCTTCTCATTTATTCTCTCATTGCATATTTCCATATCATGTGTAATTTCTAAGTCCGCTTAATATTTTGCACATGCAAGTCGTTGGTGTCGAAATCAAGCATCAACAATTTGGTGCTAGAAGGCACTGATTTAGTATCCGCTCTTCATAAAAAACCTTTGACTGATCGGTCCTATCCTCAACAAATGACTCGCGGTTTCGAACCTGAGCGAACTGACCTTGACAATGAGGAAATCCCCCGAGTATAGGATGACACTTCTCCTGAAGTGTCGCCAATCCAGCAGAGTACCATGACGGATATTCCTTCGAGCTCACAACTCAACCCAGCCGTGATGAATTACCTAGAGAGGATTAACAATACTCTCCAAACGGTTAGCCAAAGGTTAGACCGTTTGGATCGGGTCATACCACCAGAGTCCAATGAGGTGGTGCCATCGCCAGACGCCTGCAGGTCATGTGAAAGCGTAGAAAAGGGTGAAAGCCTGTACCGTGCGCACTGCAATGCGTAAAAGTAAGGGAAAACAAGTGGTAAGCAGTGGACCGAAGGGCTTCAAGGGACTAGCAAACACCGGTCGCACAACGGGTAGAATACTCGTGGCATTGCGACTCGGCAACATGTCGCAGCATGAGTCGTCCCACACCACGTCTCATGGGCACTCCCAAAAAAGTGCAAGGCAGGGATATTCCCAATATCGCTGAATGATGATCTCGACCGTCATCATGCAGGAAACCACGTCGTCTGTGGGTCAATTCTGACCATTGCGAAGGTCGGGAAAACTCCCCGTGCCATTCAATGCCTTCACACAGCACCAGCTAGCGTGTGTCAAGGTTCGCCGGAGCTTCCAGCTGAGTTGAGAAAGAGTCTGATTTGCGGTCTTTCCTTAACCATAACCGTGAGGGTCGAACCCACATTATGGAAAGTGATCATTCGGTAGCTCCACTAGCTCAGATTGAGGAATTACAACGAGCTTTGGATCAGCTTAAGGCTCAACAGAATGAGTGTGAGAAGGTCGCTGAGGCGTCTCCTTTTTCTCCAGCAGCGTTAGTTGCTCCTCTCCCATCGAGATTCAGAATGCCTAACATGCGGGCGTTCGATGAGAATTCTGATCCGCAGATCACCTTTACGAGTTCAACGAACTCATGGAACTCTACCAAGTCTCCAACTTGGTCAAATGTTGCTGCTTAGCAGTAACTTTGACTGCCCATGCCAAGCGCTAGTTCAGATCACTTCCTGTGAGATCTATCAGCTCGTGGCAACAAATGAGGTCGTCATTCTTGAGACACTTCTACGCGAACAGGAAGTTCTCGATGCCGTTAAGCTATTTAAGCAACATACGGCAGGAGAGGAATGAATCCTTCCAGTCTTACATAGACATATTCCACAGGGAACTCCACAAAGTGGCTCACACTCCCGAAGAGTCTATTCGGACTCTCATTATCGCGGGGTTTTGCTCGCACACTAACTTGTGGAAAGAATTGCAATCTGAGGACGATGTTTCCCTAACTCGTTTCTACGACCTCACTGAGAAGTATCTCTGTATCAAAAATTTCTTGGCCGCCCTTAATCGCCACGACCTCAGTCCTTCGACCAGTGCTCCCGACCAGGGGGAGAACAGTAGAAGGGCTGATCGCAGATGGGCTAATGACGATCAGCGGAAAGGAAAGAAGCAGTGATTCGAGCCCAAAAAATCTTATGCCCAAGTTCCTTATCGCGATCGCAACATAAGTCAATACACTCCTTTGAATGCCTTAGTGTCGGCTATTCTGGATAAGCCAGAGAAGGTCAGCCTGCTCGGAGAGTCAAAGCCCATGAAGAATCCTCCCTCAGCCAGGAACAACAAAAAGTATTGCCGCTATCATCGAGAAAATAGGCATCACACCGATGAGTGTCGGGCTCTCAAGCAAGCAATTTAAGACCTTATCAAATAGGGGCACTTCAAGGAGTATGTTGATGGTTCGACTCTCGTTCGGGAAAAGGATCAAGAGGAACAAGAGAAGAAGCGTTGTGGTCGCAAGGGTCTTTACTGTGTAGGGATCATCTTTAGAGGACCACACCTACCGGGGAATTCTCGAGCTGCCCAGGAAAGGTATGCTCGAGAAGCTCGTCATGACCTCGTGAGTGTGATGAGCATGGCGTCGCCACCCACTAAGGTTCGCAGGGAAGAGGAGATTACCTTCTCAGAGAAAGACGCGGTGCGATTCCATCATCCTAATAAGGATAAACTCATCATCGCACCTAAAATAGGTTGGTACGAAGTTCACAGAATGTTGGTGGACAATGGAAGCACTGTAAATATCTTGTTTCAACGAGCTTTCGAAAAAATGCAATTGGATGAGGCAGACCAGAAGCCCGCCTTCATCCCTTTCTACGGTTTTACTAGGGATTATTTGATTCCTAGGGGAACGATCACACTCCCTATCACGTTGGGTGAGACCAACGAAATGTAGACTGGTTGTCCACCTTTAATAGCATTCTGGGATGACCTCTACTACGAAGTTTTAAGGCAGTCACCTCTATCTATCATCTGAAAATGAAGTTCCCCACTCCGAAGGGGATTGGGGAAGTAAAAAGATCTCAACGCGAATCTCGCGACTGCTATATAAGAGCAGTGCAGATGACATGCAAGAGAAAAGGAAGGCCAACAGGCCTTCTTGAGCAGGCTATGATAATCAACAGGATCGAGCCACAGCTCGGCCCAGTAGAGGACAACATGGATCCTCACATCTAGGAGTACTCTCATAGTGGGCCAATTGAGGACATATCTAAGGTATTAGTCGATCAAAATGAGCTGACCCGAGTGTTGAGAATCAGGAGTAATCTTAACCCCCAGCTCACCAAAAGCTTGACGAGCTTCTTCAGAGAGAATGTCAATGTTTTTGCATGGACTCATACTAATATGATCGAGATTAGCCCGAATGTAATTTATCATGCACACAACATTGACAGTACGGTCAAGCCGGTTTGCCAAAAGAGAAGAGCAATGAACCCTGAGCGCTATGATGTCTTGAAAATTGAGGTAGATAAGCTCATTTTATATAGGTCTATTCGAGAGGTGCTTTACCCGAGTTGAATTGTCAATCCAGTCTTGGTAAAGAAGCCCAATGGCAAGTGGCGAACCTATGTCGACTTCACCATCCTCAACAAAGTCTGTCCGGATAGTTTTCCCTTGCTAAGGATCGACTAGCTCGTTGATGCCACCTCCGGACACGAGCTGCTAAGCTTTATGGACGCTTACTCGGGGTATAATCAGATCCCAATGTACGCATTTGACGAAAAACATACCTTGTTCGTTACAGATCGAGGACTTTAATGTTACAAGGGTATGCCCTTCGGCCTAAAAAACGCTGGGGCAACCTACTAGTGGCTGGTTAACTGTATGTTTTTTTAGTAGATCAGAAAGTCGATGGAAGTTTACGTTGATGATATGTTGGTCAAATCCCATGTCACTTCAGATCACATAGCGCATCTCGTTGAGATGTTCGACGTACTCCAAAAGTACAAAATGAAGCTCAACCCCTTAAGTGCTCATTCGGAGTATCCTTAGGAAAGTATCTGGGGTATATTGTTAACCAAAGGGGAATCGAAATTAACCCCGAGAAGATCCAGGCTCTCCTTGATATGAAAAGCCCGACCAACCGAAAACATGTTCAAAGCCTAAATGGAATGATATCAGCTCTCAGTCCCTTCATATCAAGGCAACAGATCGTTGCTTGCCATTTTTTATTATACTCAGGGCCAACAAGAAGTTCGAATGGACTCTAGAGTCCGAGTAGGCTTTTCAGAGTATAAAAGAACATCTCTGAAAGCCGCCTCTTCTATCTAAGCCTCTTCCCAAGGAAATTCTATTCCTCTACCTGTCCATATCTCAGTATGCGATCAGCAAACTCTCATTCAGGAAAAGGGCAGAGTTTAGTGGCCAATGTATTATGCGAGCAAGCAACAACTGGACGCC